GGAGAAATTTAGGGGCGAGAATTTTTTTAAAAAGGAACAATTACTTAAAAGTCTCATCAGTTACAAAAATTCAAAACTAAATATAAATTCAAAAAAAAAAGAGAACTCATCCCCCTTGTTCATCATATTTATAGTATCGATTTTCAAATTTTCATATATAATACTCAATTTCTGTTGAAATGAATTCGATTAAATCACTTTTTTTTTATATCTAACCATGGCTTCAATGGGTCATATTTTAGAGCCAAAAACAACTTTCATGAAGAAGAAAAAAAAAAGAGAAATTCGGAGAAGAATGCTGCAAAAATTGTATTCATATTAATTTTGGTTTGTCAATGTTTTTCTTTTACTCAACATTTATATTTTTATTAAGAACATTGTATTTTTTTTAGTAGTCATTCCATTAGGTATATCAAATTGATTTGCATTTCCTAAACATAGATGTATCCTATTTCTTTCATAGTCAATTTGTATTTTTTTAGAATATTTTATCAATCCTCAACAGACTGTATTATTTTCATTATGTATGCTATTCATTTTTTCAGAATCTTATATCTTTCTTTAATCATATTCATATGTAATGATTAGATTATATTGTGATACAATGAGTAATATTTTTGTAATTCATATAAAAGAAAAATATATTTGGCAGTTATGTAATATAATTTTGATCATTGTGATACAATTTTTAGCTTTAGCTATGAAAGTAAGATACCAATTTTAATTTAAATGGTAAAATGAGCACATAAAATTCAAAAATTGTTGATATACAATTATGTTGAAAACATAATAAAAAAGAAATACACACTTGTTTTCGTTGAAATTGAGATTGAAATACGAAATAAGCACAATAAATACTCACATCAATTCAAATACAAAATTGACTTTGTTAGTATGTCATTATGATGAACACAAAAAAAAATACAAACTTTTTTGAATACGAGAGTTAAATACAAAATGATCACAGTAAAATATGCAACATAATATGATATTCAATTTTTAATTTGAATGGTAAAGTGAGCACATAAAATATATAATTTGTTGGTATACAGTTATGATGAAAACATAATAAAAAAACAAATATAGACTTGTTATCATTGAAAATTGAGATTGAAATACAAAATGAGCACAATAAACATTTATTTCAATTGAAATACAAATGTGTGACTTTGTTGGTGTACCATTATAATGCATATAAAAAATAAAAAGTAGGACTTGTTTGTATATAAAGTGATATTAAAAAACAAAACAATCAAACTAAAGACAAAATTGTCGTTATTTGTGTTCTAAGTAGAAATTTGTGATATTGAAAAATAAAAAATTATTGATTAAGTTGGATAACTCTAGTAATTCTCTTAGATTCTTCCATTGGAGAGTGATTTAGAGTTTATCAAATCCTAACTGTGATTTCAACTACAGACAATAATTATAAATGATTTAAGCAAAAATAAAATCATAAAATAAATTTAAAAAAAGAATAAAGATGCATACCTTAACAAAAAGGATTGTGTGAATGTCTTCATAAAATATATTTTTTAATTTTTGGAAAAAAAAAGAAGAAGAGAGAGAGGCAGGTTTTGAAATGGAGAAGAATTGGAAGATGAAAATATGTTTATGAAGAAAAGAAAAAAAAAAGAAAAAGATGAAAATATGAGAGAGAGAGATGTTCTCTTTATTTTAAACATATGATATAGGATTAATTGGAAAATGAGTAATTATGGTGAGATAAATAGGATGTAAATTAGGATACACAATCTTTTCTAAAATAATGAAATTTTGACATTTTTACTAATATTTATAAAGTATGAAGGTTTTGACTAATGAAGTTAGTTTTTTTACTAGTTTGCTATTTCCCAAAATAAAAAGTCAAACTTAAATGACTTTCAAGTCAAAAATTAAAAGTAAAAGGAACCTACTTGTGATTTTAACTTATTTTAAGTCATTTAAATTTATTTTAAGTTAGTTTAAACCTTGTCAAACACTTTCAAACTTATTTTTTAAAGATATTTTATATTTATCCAAACACTTTCATAAATTAAAAACTAACTTAAAAATAGATTTGACCAACTAAAGAGAGTACTATTTCTTTTTTGAGAAAATAACAATTTTGATCCCTGTATTATCCATGATTTCAATTTTAGTCTTTGTTTTACTTGATCATGCATAAATCTTCAATTATTTGAAGGATGTGCTTGAACCTTACAGTTAACAAAAGTTAACTGTTTAACATATATAAAGGGTTTTAAATATATACAAGTAAAATAAAATAAAGTGTTAGTGTTCTTAGTTCTCAAAAATTATGCATATAAAATCTAAACTATAATTATATATTTAAAATATATGCACAAATAAAATAATTATTTTTTAAAAATATAAATTGGTCCCATTTTGATATGTTCTTGATTCATTTGTAACTCGAGCTTGCTTACTTTTCAATGGTTACCAACCAAGTTCAAATACAATTACATTTGTAAAAAAGTTTAGTTGATGGACGGGCTCCTTAAATCTATCAATAATGTCATAGTAACTTTTTGTGATTAAAAGCTTTCACATTTTTTTTAAAAAATATTTGAATATTTTAAATAATAATTTCATTAATTTATATTTCCTTTATTTCATATTAACTAAATTCGTTAGACAATGTACGCATATTAAGAAAACCATTTTAAAGACATAATTTAGATTATACTTTCTACTATTGTTCTTTATGAAATTATAAATATAACCATTCAAGTAGTGTAATTTATCTCTTGAAAACTATTAAACTTGGAAAGAGTAATATGGAAATTTTCCAAACATCAGTTCTAAAATTTGAACAATTCAATTATTTTGAACTAAAAAAGAAGTTACAAAATTTATAGGCATGCGATATGAAATCATGATATGATATCATAATATTAAATCATGAGAAGAAGTTGAAGTTTTGTTTGGACATGGATATGAAATTTTTGTGTAGTAAAACTATTAAAATAACCCCAATTGTTTATTCAATCTTTCCAAATAAACAAAATAATTCTAAAAAAACCATAATAAATTATTATAAATTATTTGTTCTCCACTTAAGTAATTATTTCATCTAACTTTAATTGATCAAACTTTAATTCAATAAAAATATACTAAACAAAACTTGTAGTGTACTAGTCTTTAATAGTTTCGTCCCACATAGTACGAACAATCTCCTCACATTGAACTTGCATTTTTTGATCATATGATCGAAAAAATGAACCAACATTGTTACTTTGAATCATATGTTGGTCAAAAGAGAATTTTTTTTATTATTATGAAAAATAAAAAAAGTATTACTCTCTCCGTTTTTATTGATATTCACCAAATTGATTCTTACTTTATAATTTATATTCACCAAATTTAAAGTAATAATAAATACTATGTTGGTGAAAATAATAAATTTTAAAAAGTAATAATGTAATTATAAATTTTATTTACATAAAAAATAAAGGGTTAGTAAAATAAATGTGTGGTTATTTTAACAAAATATAAACTTGTGGATCAATTTTTTGTATTTAAAACATCTCAAATAATGATTTTTGAAGAATATAGAGTTATATCTCATGATATGAAATCATGAGATGGAATTAACGTGAAATTATATGTCCAAACGCTGATTTCATCTCATGATTTCATATTGCATGTCCAAATCTTGATTTCATTTTACGATTTCATATCATGATATGGTATCGCATGACCAAATGCCTAGTTTTAGTGAATACTTCCTATGTCCACTATTAATTGTCAAAATTTCCATTTTTAGAGTCAAACTAAAAACTTTGACTCATTTTACAATATATTTTTTTATAATGCAAAAAATTGCAACGTATAGTACTTTTCGTATAGTTTTTGAATATCTAAATTTTTGAATAAAATATCAAATTAATATAATCTAATTAATTAGTCAAATTAACTTTCGAAAAGTATAACATGACAAATAAAAGTAAAAAATAAAGATGAACATCACACATATTGAATGATGAAAAGTGTGCAAAGTTGAATAACAAATAAATAATAATTACACAATAATAAATAGACTACAATTGTTATTTATTATTATTTTTTATGGAAAAAGGATAAAAAATATTCCTCAACTTTATTTTATTGGTTGAATTTATCTCTGCCATTAAAAATAAGTTATTTTTTATCCCTGCCGTCAATAAACTTAACAAATATACCCCTCCTTGGATGGAAAACCCCAAATCGATTAAAATTATTCAATTTTACTTAAATTATTCAATTATTAACCTGATCCGACCCGACCCACTTAATAATATAACTCATTTTCTTTTTATCCAAATTAACTTTTCCCCCCTCTCCACCACCACCACCACCATCACCATCTAAGCTATCACCCACTTCGAAATTTCCTTTACCACCACCATCGAAATTACTATCTCTCCCACTACTCTACCAATAGCTCAACTCCCAATTCCCTAGCCTGACCTCCACCCCAAGCATAAAGAGCTCTTTTTTCAGTCACAACACTGGTGTGAACATCACCCCATGCAACTTCTTTTATACATATGCCATCAAATGAAACTAAACGCCTAGGTGAGGGTTCCTTTTCACGTGATTGAAGGGAATAACTGTCAAATTGTTCCACCCACCCATCCACAAATATAGTTATAGTTAGTTAAAATGATAAAATGATAAGTTTGTTCGATGGTGGTGGTGAAAGAAATCTCAGAGAGAGTGATGACTTTAGTGATGGTAATAGCGGGGGAAATAAAGTTAATTTAAATAAAAAATTAAATTGTATTATTAAGTGGGTCGGGTCGGAACGAGTTAAAATTAGATAATTTTACTTAAATTATCCAATTTTAATCGATTTGAGGCTTTCCATCCAAAAAGGGATATATTCATTAAGTTTATTGATGACAAGGGTAAAAATAACTTGTTTTTAACCGTAGAGATAAATTCAACCAATAAAATAAAATTGAAGGTTATTTTGGTCTTTTCCCTTTTTTTTATTTTTTATATAAAGGTGTCACAGTGTGAATGGCAGATTCTTGAATTCATCAACTAGTTCTCCATTTACTCTCACTCAAAGACAAACTCTACACTCGCTCTTCTTTCTCCGGCGAACTTCGGTTCTACTCTTTCTACCACCGCCGTTCATTTATCCCGGTGAAGCCCAGCTGTAAGTCCTCTTTGTCGATCAAAACCCTGAAACCCTTTTACTGATTTTGTATGCATTTTGTGCCATAAAGTGGATTTTCTGATTCTGGTTAATAGATGATACCCTTAATTTCTTCACTTTTTTCTGGCGAAAAATCTGAAGATGGATTTCTGGGTTTTGAGTTTGTTGAGTAAATGTTGTTGTTAATGCTGACCCTCGTTCTTCACCTCTTTGTCGATCAAAACCCTAAACCCTTTTACTGATTTTGTGCAATTTTTTTAACTGGGGTTGTTGATGGATTTTGTGACATAAAGTGACCCTGATTCTGACTTGTCAATTTTCTTGTTTTTTTTGGTTAATAGATGATACCCTTAATTCTTTACATTTTTTTCTGGCGAAAAAACTGAAGATGGATTTCTGGGTTTTGAGTTTGTTAACACTAAAGTATGTATGTATATATTTCTGGGTTTTGACCAATTTAGGAACTAAATTGGATATGGGTTCTTTTTCTGATTTCGGATGTGTAGAAACTAGCTAACTAAGCGAATTGTGGGAGATGGTTAGTGTAATTTGTGAGGAACACTAATGCACTTGGTGTTCTAGTGTTCATGGGGATGGAATAAGTGGCTAGTATGTCATTATTTGTTTTAGATTTAATTGAATTGGTGTATGGTAGTGATGATTCGTACAATATCTTGCATTTGGTTTTCATATCTCTCCCTTTGTTTGAAAAATAGCAGAAATTGATTGAGAGAAAATTCTCTTTTCTGTGTATTTGACATCACTCTAAAGATGTGTATAAATACAACTCACGGAATACGTGAATAACAAACTGTGAGAAGATAGATAATGGAGAATATGACTGACCAACTATGAAACATGTCCTACTTTATCTAACAAACTAATGTGTCCTACTTATCTAGATAATTACAAGGATTAATAAAATATATATGACAAATCTTTCTAAAGCCTTTTCGGACAAGAAACACACCTAGCAGACAATCTTCTTCTTCGTTACTGCTTCACCGTTATCTATATCAACACGCCTCCCCCCTCAAGTTGGAAGGAGAAGACCTGCCTAAAAGGTTTATAGTGAAGAGGCCTTGTTAAGGGCTTGGTGAATAAATTGGCTAATTGAGATGAAGATGGAGTGAATGAGGGTGAAATTAAACAACAAGAAATTGTTGTCAGACGAAATGACAATCAAGCTCCACATGCTTGGTTTGCTCATGAAAAATGGGATTCTTGGCAATATGTATTGCAACTTTGCTATCCGAATGAAAAGGAACCGACAAAGCTATAGGAATCAAAAGATCAATGGATAATCGCACCCACCAAGTCAACTCGGCAACAAACTCTCCTCATCGACCTATATTGATGTCAAGACCCACAAGTACACCCTAGAAGTTAGAGCATCCTTGTGTCGTGACTCGTGACACGGCAAATGAGACTTCAAGAAGTCTCATCTAAGCCTCTCGTATCATTCATTGCATAATAAACATACTAAAATGAGTAAGAATTTAAAACCGTCTTCACACACGAAGAACTCTTTCATAAACATTACACAAGCGGAAGACTTTCATTTAAAATATTAAATCTTTACAACATCTACTTGAACCATCTAAACTTTAGAGTATACAACACTCAGGACTAATCCCATACAAGACAATAAAATAAAGATTATGACATAAGGGATATGTGGATATTATTCTCGAATCGATGAGGACTCACCAATACTTCATCTTCAAGCCTTAGAAACCTATCCATCCTTTATGGCACATCAAGACTTCCAATTCCTTACACTTTAGTCAAAACGGGAAAAGAAGGAGTTGACTCATTAGATGTATTAAGAATGGAAGCCATGCATCAACCATGAAAAAGGGACATTTATTAAATAACATACTCTTCATGAATAGAAGCATAAGAACAACATTTAACAACTTAAAAACACATAAGAAATCATTTAGACAAATAGTCACATTTTAGAAAATGTTACAGTGAATTCACTTCACTGTACAATGAACTCAATTCATTGTTATAGTGAAGTTCCTTCACTTCACTTGGCACACCTTATTAGCATATAATTCCCTCACTTAAAGCCATCCTAAGACTCACTTAAGTAATACAAAGAGAGACCACCCATACACCCTTTCTAAGCACACCTAAATGATCCTTAAGACCACCCATAATGAGATCAACATACATTTACTAACATATGAACATGAGATCCTCCTACCAAAAGTGATTCTAAGGTTCACTTGAATGAGTTCTGAAGCGACCGCCCATACAATCCCTTACACACACTTAAGAGTTCCATAGACTACCTAAGATAGAATCATTCTCACTTAAAACATCAACACATATATAATATGACATTCTCCTTCCAAAGGCTATCAAAAGACTTACTTCAGTAAATCAAGAAGATAAAGTCCATGATTGACCTCTTCAAGATTACCTAAGTAATCCTTAAGACTACCTAAGCTTAGATCATGTCTACATATTCAACCCTCTTCCCTAACTAGAATCATTCTTAAGACTTATCTAGGTAAGATAAGAAGTGATCATTCCTATGCCCTCTTCACACCTTAACTAGACAACCCTTAACTACTCTAGATAAGTACTTATTCATTTAACCTATCTTGTTAACTTAAGTCATTTCATTCATTAGTTCATTAAGAGACATTCATCACATAATGGATATTGAAGTAATGGTCTTGGACAAGACCTAGGGACTCCAACTAACACCTTCAAAGCCTATTGTGCAATTTCTAGATAGCGTCCCATACCACCACCTAAACTTCATAGAACTTCTCTAATGCTAGTAAGTATCCATGTGATGATAATAGGCAATAGCCGACAGAGATCATGGTAGCAAAACATGGAATACGGAGTTCTAACCTACTCCGATGAGGGTGTTCTACTTGCCAATGGTAGAACTTGGACACATCCCATGCAGGCACATGGAAATATAAAGGGCATGCTTTGTAATCTAGTCTCATCCTTTAACTAGAACTACTTCCCTTACCATACTCACTCGGTGCTAGCTTTCGTTCTCATAGAGTAATTCACATTTAAGGTTCATATAAAAGGGTTCCATATCAAGTTCATAAACCAATCACAGTTACCCTACCAAAGAGGTCCTCTTAGGGCTACCTTCCAATGGCGACAAGAAGCTCATGATGACTTTTCTAAGGTGTGATATGATGTCGTTCCAACCAATCAACCTTAAGTCCATCATTCCTTTACTTGAAGGATTCCATGACGGCTTATGACTTCAACATTCATAACCTTACCACTTGATTCAAGGTTGCACATAAAGACCCTCTTAACATCATTCAAGGTCACACATCATTAATACATTCAAGACTAAGAGAGTTTAGCATCCTAATTCAAGACATCACATATTCACTTTCATATATACATCAAGCAAGGGACACAAGTCAACCAAGACAAGACACCACATACTTCACTTTAACACATATCACATGTCATTCTATAAGCACATAGGAATAACCATGATCATCTTTAAGTCATCCTACACACTATCATATCATCATCAATATAACTATTATAGACTCATATAGTCACATAGGAACAACCATGTATCTACCCTAAGACTACACATAGAAGCACATAGTCATAGTCTACATGATTTTCTGACATACATAGGAAGAACACATTCTTTCACATTACTTCACATATAGATAATTATACTCATACTTCACATAAATCAACTATACAAAACATCATAGTACTTAAGTAGTGCCCACAAGGCCATGATCATCATATTGCATAAAGTAACACCGACAAGGTCACATCAATTCACTGCTACCATAAGTGGACCATACCAATCACAACCTAATTAAAGTCTAATTAACATAAAATAGAAGGAATTAGGGCAGCATACCCCCACTCCATCTTACCACTTCGATCCCGAGGCTAAATCATCCAATTCGACATTACAAGGCCCTTACCCATGGCCATAACCAACAATTCAACATAATTATAAAAATATTCATGAAACTAGGTCAAATTACTACATATTCATCAATCTAATGTGACCTAGATATCAATTTACTATAATCATTACATCAATCAAAAGCCTATGTAAAACTATAATAGAATTCATAAACCTTAAATCAATATCAATTTAATAAGCCTAATATCCAATTGTTCTAAGTATGTACAATATTCAATTGATCAAATTGAAACAACCTATAAACCAATTAACCATAATCTATACATGAATCAAAAGCCCATAGCAATCTACACATGAATTCATCAATATCAAAGCATGATCACATAACCCATATTTTAGTCAAATTGAGAGATTTGTGAATGTCAAGGGTTCATGGAGAATTTCATTGGAAAACATCAATAACATCGTATCTTAACGTTTAAAAACCTTTCATGCAAGAAACCAAGACTTAGAGTAGAAATTGGACTTTTCATCTCTTTTGAAATCTTTGAAAATTTTTCTTTGAAATTGGCTCTAAGGTGATAGCAAGCCTTAGATGAAGAACTCACATACCTTATTAGAAGAACCCAATGTAAATTGAAGAAGAAACTCCATTAAAGAACCATCTTCAAGCTCCATCTTCACCTTGAACTCTCATAGAGGTTTTTGAAGAAACATTGGGAGGGGATGTGTTTTGATTTAGGTGTGACGGTTATAGTGAGAGTTTAATGACTTATAAACTTTTAAAATACCCATAAACACTCAAAACAACGTCCTCACATTTTATAAGACTTGGGGTGAATTTCCCAAAACCTCCAAGTCTTAACATAAAATTGTAGGCAGTTTCACAGCACCATCGATGCCCTACCATTGACGGTCCGTGGGTGAGACCACACCCCGTCGATGGGGTCTCGTGGTTTGCTCCTGCTGCTCCTCAACATTCAATCTTTCAGGCTCCATCGGCGCCACCCATTGATGGGCCGTTGCCTGGTTGACTGGCCGTCGTTTGGGTCTTCGTTTGGCACTACCTGGCAGTGCTGAGCTCCAAGTTGGGGTCCTCCTT